CCTTCCGAGGTGGGTGAAATGAGGACCCAGACTGTGGGGGCGATATGCTGACTCTGTAAACCGCTTAGAGAGGGCTGAAAGCCCTGTGAAGCGGTCTATAAGTCTAACTGCTATTGCTGTTGCTATTCAGCAACATCTGGGTAAACAAATCATAGCATAGTATGTTGTGAGAACTCTGCTAAAACCCATTCAAGTTAAATTTACACTAAATTAAAATGTCCTTTTGTTAAAATTTAAAACGTTTACCTAATACATAAACATTGAACATATTAATTCCTCAGAAAATAATTCTCAACCAACAATGAAGCATTATAGATACATTTTTGCTAGACATACTTACAGATTTTTGTCATGAGTAGAAGGCTTTTATCCAGTTTCTATCCATTCAGTGAATATTACTGTAACGGAGGCATATTTTTTAGATTTGGACTCAAATTTCATCTTAAACCTTTATCAGTTATATTCAGAAGAAAGTAAGCTCGATATTTTTTTCTTTTGAAAAATCCAAACCAATGTCATTACGGATATTCATTGCAATTAAAGAGAGGATGATTTGTGTGGCTATTTCCCCTGCCGATTTCTCCCTTCAGGAATATATTGAACCAATATTATGATATCAAGGGATATTCATTGTGCTCCGAATATCAGACTCTTCAGTGCAGACTTCACAGAATTAGCCATCAGGAGAACATTTTTTTTATATTCATACTCATACCTTAGTTTCAAAATATGGTTCAGTGCTGGGAATATTCAGAGAAAGAAAAGAAAAAGGAAGTGTCTTAAAAAAAAAAACATGGCCTGTGAGAATAGCCCTGGATTGTCACTATGGACAAGCTAAAGAGTCTATTTTATTGTCTTTATTAGCTCACCTGGATCATTCAGAGAAGTCACTTTTTAGAAGCTAGAAAGGTGTAGCTACTTCCAATGTTAAAAACCCTTTTAGAGGCGAGAAAGGTGAAGCTACTTCCAATGTTAAAAACCCTTTGCTTTTCAGCCCCCCCTTTCAGGCGGACTGTCACCCAGTTTTCTGAAGTAAATGTTGTGATGTACCATGATAAGGATAGTAAGAATCTCATCTCCTGACAGAGTGTCATCTACAAAGAAATACTTTTGAGTAGTAATAAGTATTGTGGATGGCTATGGGCTGTTTTAGCCTTTATTTATATGACGCTATTTGGTTTCTTGGTAGAACTTTTAGGTTATGTAAGAAAAATATTTGGAACGCCAGGAAGTATTCCTTAAGTATATATATTTTATGACTGCTGTAGGCACCTAGTGGATAGTGTCCATCCACAATGAATGAAATATTCCACTCAGTGCTCAGAGCAATTTGGCAATTACTATAATCATTTTAAATTAATTTGAACCCTTGAAAAGCTGGTTCCACCACAAAACCGCGGTCGACTAAAGCGCGCTCGACGAAACCGCGTNATATATATATATATATATATATATATATATTCCATTGTAATCAAATAAGTGTATGTTATGAAAAAAAAATCATAAATTTCAAGGATTTCCATCAAAGTTAAGTACAGAAGGGAGTTACGTGTGAACCCTCTCATAATGACCCTTAAATGCTTATTTTCATAACTACTTCTGCCCATTTTCAGGGAATAGTAAAATGTGTAATTATAAACTTGCATAGTCATAGATAAATTATACGACAAACATATATTAAAAAGAGTAGAAGCTGCAAATTCTCATTAAATTGAGTCTGTCAAAGTAAGGTAGTACAATCTTAAGTACTTGATAATAAATTATATTCATCGAGGCCTATATCTTAGTTTAAATATTTAATATTGGTTAGTCAAAAAAATTAAGGACAGTTTTATAATCCTGTTGTATCAATTAAAATGATTGTTTTCTCTTTATTTTGGCACTTTTCCCTTTCTTCTAATTGGATAATTCTAATAATTATCAGTGGAGATGGCTATACAGCTGTCAAACTGTGGTTTCTTTCTGATTCATCAATTATCGCCTGATGAATAAAAATTGTATGACATTTTGTCTATGGGAAAGGGTTTTAGATGTTTTATATTAATGAAATGTGGTAACCTTTAACTGCATGATATCAGGTGTGGGTTTTTATATCTAATGCAAACCTGCAGTTTAACTAATAAAAGTTTTCCTTCCCATTGTTAAGGAAGGACAATGAATGGTTTCTGTCATATTCATTGAACCAGCTCTGAATAGAAGAATGTGTTCATATGTATAATAATATCTTGGTTTTTTTAAATCTTAAAATAACGGTTGACATTTTAAAAATATGTTAAACCCTCCCTCCCTTTAATCCATACATAATGACACACCAGTAACTGGGATACACCTTCGGCAATAAATTTCTTAACAGAGTAATTGTGTTTGGTTCTGTACCTATCGTTTAATGTCCAGCAATTTTAAATATTTCTGTATTTGTAATGCCCATTGTTCATCAGAAATCAATGGAAGAAGAAAAGAAAGAACATGTGGAAAAAACTGGGGACTTATTGAAATGGGTTACAGAAATCACCAAGAGCCTCAACAAAGGAAGCGGAGAAAGGGCTGAAAAAGCAGATTTTCTTAAGAAGCAGGTATTAAAACATTGCTTCAGTGTATATAATGAACAGCTGCATGGACCTGCAATATTTGGTTTTTCCATGTCTGTAGTTCTGCTAAGGAGTCGTGCACATTATTTCATTTCTTCATACCAACAAGCTGAAGGGTCTCAGGCCAGATTCTTTGTATATGCCCTACATCAGTCCTAATATCACACTCCTTTGGTTTCAAATTTTCACAAAATGTATATTCAACTACACTATTACTTAGATTTATATATCACTTTTCTCAAAGAATAAACTTGTCATGATTCCATACGGTAATGAACATTTAGAGGATGTTTTCCTTGTTTTTGTACTTAACCACTTGTCGATGTATGATTTTGGAAATGGGCCATGAAGGTGCCTGCTCAATTCCAATTCTCAGACCAATTAGATCGCACAGGTTGGGTCTCCTCCGGATTCCATCCGCCAGCCAATGTTGGCTGGCGACTCCCCGGGGGAGAGCCTTCTCTGTTGCAGCTCCGGCCCTCTGTACCGAGCTCCCTGTTGAGATCCAGACCCTTACTTCCCTCCCGGCCTTCCGCAAAGCCGTTAAGTCCTGGCTGTTCCAGCAGGCTGGGGGGAGCTGAGAACCATCTTACCTCCACAGAAATTGTGAATGTTGGTTTTGTTTTTAATATGTT